TCCAGAGTAGCAACGGTACAACGTTTTTTTTGCCTGAAAAGGCCTCTCTCTCTCTCTCTCTCTCTCTCTCTCTCTCTCTCTCTCTCTCTTTCTTTTTCTTTTTTTCTCTTTCTCTTTTTTTTTTTTTTTTTTTTTTTTTTTTTTTTTTTTTTTTTTTTTTTTTGGAGAGAGTTTTTTTTTTGTTTTTTTTTTTTTTTTTTTTTTTTTTTTTTTTTTTTTTTTTTTTTGCAGAGACGGGCGTCACCGCTGCGAAAGGTCTGTACTTAGAGCATACTCACACTACAGTAGGCCCTCAAACTCGCAAGATCGCAAAATGAGCGGCCAGATCGAGTCCTTGTAGTAAAGGAAGGACTAGATCTGGCCGCTCATTTTGGAATTTTGCGTTTTTGAGGGCCTACTGTAGTGTGAGTATGCCCTTACCACTGCTAAAGGGCCTCGCTCCAGTGAGGGATGCCAGGGCCGATTCCTGGCTCTTCGAAATATAAGTATAAGGGATGCTGGGCCCGGTTCCCGTTTTTGTTGGGCAAAACACAGCCCCAGCATCCCTTATATATTTCGAAGAGGCAGGAATCGGCCCTGGCATCCCTTATATTTCGAAGAGCCAGGATTCGGCCCGGCATCTTCGCTATCGTCGCCCGTGTACCCGGGCATCCTGGACAGGCAAGTTCGCCCGGGTTGCCCGGACAGGCAGCCTGCCCCGGGCGACTCTGGTAATATAGCAGCCTATACCCCTATTAACTTAACTTAGCTGTGAGGACTTAATAATTTCGAGATTCTTTAGTGCACCTTGCTGTTTTGCGGCTTGTATGCACGTGCTTCGGGTCAGTCTGCTCTGGCTCTGCTGCTCTGAGCTGTAATTGACGCCTCCAACCCTAAACCCTAAACCAGCAAACCAGCAAACCAGCGTATGCTACCAAAAAAGGAAAAGGCAACCACGATTCTATACACTAAAGTCACAAAAGCCGAAAAAGGCAACCATTGTCCTTCGGGACATCCGTGAAAATTGGAACGATACAGAGAAGGGTAATTAGCAAATGGCCCCTGAGCGCAAGGATGACACGCATAAATCCGAGAAATGGTCAAAAAAGGCAACCACCAATCTATCTATAATACCCCTCTTTAGCCTAAACAAACGGAAAACCTCCGCACACTCACACTCTCAAGAAGACACGCAAACATCATGATGATGTCCAGCCCGGAGCTCCAACCCTAATAACACCTCTACTCTACTACAGATTACGATCACTGACAGAGAGAGCAGAACCAAATGATCTGTCAAAGCACCAGATAATACAGATATCAACAAATCCAAGGGCGGGTTGCAATT